TCTCTCTCTCTCTGTCTCAAAAATAAATAAACATTAAAAAAATGGCTTAATTTGTAATGATCACAAAGTTTATGTAATTCAAAATAAACTTACTGAGGAGCAGATTTTGTATGATTCCACTCACTGGAGGTCCCTAGAGGAGTCCCATCCATGGAGACAGAGAGTAGATCGTGGGCCCCAGGGGCGGGGGAGGGGACGGGGAAATCCCTGTTTCATGGGGACAGAGTTTCAGTTTGGGGAAGATGGAAGGTTCTGGCGGTGGATGGTGGGGGTGGGAGCATGACAATGTGAATGTGCTTAATGCCCCTGAGCTGTACGTTTTTAAAAATGACCAAGATGGTAAGTTTTATGTTATGTGTATTTCACCACAATTAAAAAAATACACACAATAAGTAAGCTTGCTAACTGTGACCAGTCCTGGTTTCCTATTAGTATCAGCTATGTTTTTCCCTCCCACTCGGCTTTATTGAGGTATGTTTGAGTTGTAAGATATTTAAAGGTAAAATCAGAAGGTAGTGAAAGTGTCCATTGGGATGATTTTGATACACATACATGCTGTAAAGGGATTTTTCCCAGGTAGTTAGTTAATACATCCATTACCTCCTATTTTTATCTTTTTTGTCTGTGTGTCTGAGAACATTTAAGTTCTGTTCCCCTAGCATATTTTAGTTATACACTGCAGTGTTATCGACTGCGTTTTTATTTGGGGGGGAGGGGAGGGCGCAAGTGAGCGAGGGGCGGAGAGAGAGAAGTGGGACTCGCCTGAAGTGAGGCTCGAGCCCTACCCAGCGTGGGGGTAGAACCCGCAAACCGTAAGATCATGACCTGAGCCCAAGTCAGATGCTTAACCGACTGCGCCACCCAGGCGCCCTCAACTGCATTTTAAAAAATTATGGTAGGGGCGCCTGGGTGGCGCAGTCGGTTAAGCGTCCGACTTCAGCCAGGTCACGATCTCGCGGTCCGTGAGTTCGAGCCCCGCGTCAGGCTCTGGGCTGATGGCTCGGAGCCTGGAGCCTGTTTACGATTCTGTGTCTCCCTCTCTCTCTGCCCCTCCCCCGTTCATGCTCTGTCTCTCTCTGTCCCAAAAATAAAAAATAAAAAACGTTGAAAAAAAAAAATTTAAAAAATTAATGTAAAGTATATATAACATAAAATGGACCATCTTAGCCATTTCTAACTGTCCAGGTCCGTGGCATTAAAGCCCGTTCGCACTGTTGGGTGCCCATCGTGACCATCCAGCTCTAGAACTCTCTCATCTCCCCAAACTCTGTCCCCGTGAAGCGCTGACTCCCCCAGCCCCTGGCTCCCACCATCTGCTTCCCGTCTCTGTGGACGGGACTGTCCCTAGGTGCCCCGTCACCCATACTTTTACTGCGTAGTCAGAGAAAAACCACGCGGCGCTAAGTGCCCTGCCGTGGGTGCCAGAAAGGGTAACGGGGGGTGAGGAGCTGTGTCTGACCTCATGAAAGGTCCTTTCCTCTCCAGAAAATTCTCAGCAGCCTCCCTCACTCAGGAAATCCTACCTTTCTCTTCCATTTATAATTACCAGTCCCTTTAATGGTTAACCCAGCCAGGTTAGTCCGTGTCTATTAATACACGTCCCAAGTATTTTTAAGAGTCCCTTGTAGGCTTTCACAGCTGTATAAATACTTGGGCTTCCGAGTGGATACTCAGCATTCACGGGAAGGTACTTGGAGCCCATTGTCTCCAGGACGCATTCAGGGGGAGAAGAAAAATGCTCAGGAGCTCCTGGGAGGCTGCAGGCACCAGGGCTGGCTGCAGGATAGGTGAAGCCCAGGGCCCTTCGTGGATTGTGCCTGGAGAAAGTAGCTTTTATGTGCCTGGTTGCATCAGAAGTGTGGCTGTGCCCACACGATGGATGGCAGGCACCCCTGGGACCGGACTCGGGTCAAGACACAGCCAGGGTGGCACTTAGCAACTTTGGGGGTGCCTGGGTGACTTAGTAGGTTAAGGATTCAACTTCAGTCCCAGTCGTGATCTCGCGGTCCGTGGGTTCGAGCCCTGCGTCGGGCGCGGTGCTGACAGCTCAGAGCCTGGAACCTGCTTCGGATTCTGTGTCTCCCTCTCTTTTTGCCCCTTGCCTGCTCATGCTCTCTCTCTCTCTCTCTCAAAAATAAATAAATTTCCAAAAAAATTAAAAAAAAAAGCAACTTTGTGTTTTTAGGACACTACCTTCCAGCAGTTGGTGTTCTTTTTTTCTTTCTTTCTTTCTTTCTTTCTTTCTTTCTTTCTTTCTTTCTTTCTTTCTTTTCTTTCTTTCTTTCTTTCTTTCTTTCTTTCTTTTCTGATTCCTTTTTCTGTGCTTTTTTTTTTTTAATTTTTTAAAAATGCTTTTATTTATTTTTGAGAGAGAGAAAGAAACCATGCAAGCAGGTGGGGGGGGGGGCTGTCTTTCGGCATGCCAAGGAAATTCCTACCACAGGGCCTTTGCACTTGCTTTCTGCGCCATCTGAACTGCTTGCACCAAGGTATGTGCATAGCTCACTCCTTTACGTAGTTTGGGACTGCTCAGCGGTCGCTTTCTCCGAGACCACCTCATGAAAAGCAGCACCCCCAGGCATCCTGTGTCCTTTTACCCTGCCGGCTGACTCATGGCATACGTATTTATTAGTTTATTGTGGATCCCTCCATCCACATGCACTAGATTGTAAGTTCCATGAGGCAGGGTCATGCCTAGTTACCTTACGGTCTCCAGCCCGATGGGATTACGGTGTCTCACGGTTTCTGGAACACACGGACCTGCACAGCTGCCCCGTGTGCCCAGCCCCTCTGAGAAGACCCCCCTTTGCTGTGTGTGCGCTGTGGGGTCAGGCGGGGAGAGATCTCAGGCCGCCTGCTCTGCCCGTCTCTAGGGTTGAAGCTGCCTTCCCGGACCTGGTCCCCGCCGTTCGAGTCCGAGGGCTCCCAGAAGCACAATCAGAGTGAGTACGAGGAGTCCGCTGGCGAATGCTGCTCGTGTCCCAAAACCGACTCTCAGATCCTGAAGGAGCTGGAGGAGTCCTCTTTCAGGAAGACGTTCGAGGATTACCTGCACAATGTGGTTTTCGTGCCCAGGTCAGGACTTTTCATTGGCTTGGTGTTGGGGGTCGTTCCCTGGGGAACAAGATGAAGCGGGCACCCAGAGGGTGGGCAGGTAAAGGGGGAGATTCAGGAGAAGCCTTTTCAGGAATAATCACCCCAAACGGGGAAAAGTTAAAAAAAAAACAAAAACAAAAAAACCCTCAGCATTTGCTCCCCGACGTGGCCCAAACCCTTCGTCCCACCCGTGGGCTGCCATCTGACTTCTCAAACGAGCTCCGTTAGATTATTGAGGCACACCCCTGAGGAGGGCCCCCCGGGCCCGTGCTCCTTGTTCATCTATGCAGCTGTCTCATCCTTCTGGAAATTTCTACGGCATCTTCAAAACCTGGAGGCTTCTCCTGTTTAAGGTTGGGTTTCCTTCGGTGAATGAAGGGACTTATTGACATCCCATCCGATGTGAGAGGGTTTGCAGCGAAAATGACTCGAGGCTAGTCAGCTGTCTGCAGAGACATTTAGGTACATGGCACGTTTCTTTCGAGGCCTCAGGCTTACTTGTCCGGCAAGTGCAGATAATCACGGTTCCTATTTCCTAGGACGGCGAGAGCATGTGAGTCACCCAGGCTTCTCAGCCTTGACACTCTCGGTATTTGGAGCCAGCTCCCTCCTTTGCCGTGGGGCCGTCCCGTGTGCTAGGGGATGACAAACAGTATCCCTGCCTCCACCCCCCTAACACCAGCAGTGCTGCGTGCATCACGGGTTCGTGACTCTTTGCAGTCACTTCATTTATTTTTGAGAGAGAGAGAGAGAGAGCACAAATGGGGGAGGGACAGAGAGAGAGACACACACAGAATCGGAAGCAGGTTCTAGGTTCTGAGTTGTCAGCACAGAGTCCGACGCGGGGCTTGAACCCACACACC